TATGTTTCATTGTGATTATCTATTTTACAAATGGAAACTCGATTTAGGTACTGCTTTTCATTTACTTGCCACTAAATGTTGTACTGTGAGTGCTTATCCTGACGTGATCCAGCTGAAAATAAATACACATTTTCCAGCCTGCCGCAGAAATTATTTGCTTCAGGATGGGAGAACTTAGAGGTTTTTCTAGAAGGCGCACTCGATTTCAGGGTATTGGCCTGGACGAGACTCTTATCAATAATGCAACAGAGAAAACTGGAATATTATTAGCACAACTTGAGAGATTTATGAGGGTGCTTTCCTATGTGGTACAGCAGGTGGTAAACCTTAATATTTGAAGTTTTTGGTCTTTCTTCATTCTTAATCCCCCACCTGTTGCACACTGAATGGAATGAAAATGGTCTATTTTCTTTCGTCTCCTAGAATTGTGTTTTTCTGTTTGAGTTCTTATATCAGTCTTTACATTCAGTTTTCAAACTTCTTTAATTGGTTGCAGAAGTGCATAAAGTTACTTATGCAAGAGTTAAGTGATCAGCTTCTACCTTATAACAGGTTTGTTTCTCCCATACCTTTCTATTTGCCTCTCTTGATTATCTTTAGTTTTGTAGCCCCACATTTTTTTTCTTTTGATAGCGAACTTCTTGTTATATTCTTGAAGTTCTTATACGATCAAGATCCTGTCAAGCCCTTTCTGGAGCCGTCTGAAGTTGATATCGAAACTGAAATGTAAGTTATCCTGTCAACCGTCATTGGTCTAATGGTGCAATTCGGTTTATGTTACTTTGGTCTGTCATCAAACAAGATTAATGCATATTGCTTGTTAATTAAGCATACACATAGTGTGTCACGCAGTGTGACAATTAATATATCATACATCTATCTGTTCACGAATTATAGTTTCAGAACACACCTTTACCACACCTTTACCTACAGGTAAAAAAGACTTTTTATTGGTTGAATTGTAATGATGCTGAATCTGCTGATTTAGGCTTTAACATGGAAAAAAATAACTTCAATTTTGTACTTTTCAAACTGCATACAGGGAATAATTCTCCTTCAACTAGTGTTAGTGTGAAAATGTAATATTTATCTGATAGTTTTTTTTAGTGTATCAGTGTCATTGTTTATCCTAAAAGGTTCTGATGCTCTCTATCCTCCAGGGAAACAGTGCAAACAGTTAGAGAATTGGTTCATTTTGGAGGTTTTGCTGATTGTGAATATCTGAGGAGGACATTAGCTGAAGAATTTAAACAGATGGAGTCTAGGTATCCTTTCCTTTTGCTTTCCACGCTCTCTGTCTTCAATTGGGAAATTCTATTTTCAGAGATTTTATCGTTGTTAAAGGCATGCATTAGTTTATCCTTCCATCTTCATTCCATATGTATCGCCTTTTGGTTATACTTCAAACTGTAATTTGCGATGGTTGTGCGATTTCAGTTTCAAGGAGGCTTTCCTGATGCCTTCTACTACAATTTCGAGGAAGATGCTTTGCAAGGATGTGCTACCACTGTTTGCTCTACCATCTTCACCTGCATCTGTATCTTTCACGGTCCCCATGTCTGTAACCTACTACAAGGTAATCCCTGCCCGCCATTTTGTCCTCTTAAATCTCTAAATGTGGTAATACATTTATTGTTTTCTATATTTGCAAATGTTACACATTTCATATCGTTATCCCTAATGTCGGTACAAGTCTGGTTTTCTTATCTTTTGGAATACTTATTCGTGCGCATTGTGATGTTTTCTCTTTTTCTCTGTAGGATGCCTCCACTGCCATCTCATCGTATCTGACTCCTGAACATTGGTTTATTGATTATATTTCTTTCCAAATCCCTGGTGACTCTTCCTCAAGTATCGCTAATTGTATAGGCATATCAAGAGGATTCATGCATGGTTTGAGCAATCGTATCGAGGAATCTGCGTTTTTGGAAGCTATTTTACTGTCAGTTCCTGATGGTTATCACTGTGTGGATCTATCGTTATATAAGGTGAAAAATTACTTTTTAGTTTAGAAACTGTGTGTCACTGAAATTCGTTTTTCCTGTTATTTCAGTGATTCAACCTTTGCGTTTTTTAGCACAAGTCTTGTGGGATGTTTTCATGGTCAAATTGTTTTGCTGTTGAACGAAAAGACTGATGCTTCCGAAAGCTCTGGAGAATCTTGTATGATGATCGTCCAAGCTAATGAACTCCCATTTGTGTCCATTCCAAGATCCAGTTGTGTAAACACCTGGAACCTAGATCAGCTAAAGGTAAATTGTTTATTTTACGGATCATACCACACTTTGTAGGGCCTGTAATTTGATTGTTTCTGCTGCTCGATATCACTACAAAATTACTACATATCTTTACATGCGTGTGAACTCCGGTTAGTAGTTACCCCGACTATTCAAACGAATTCAATTGCATTGCGAACTCTGATAGATTTGTATCTTTTACCTGTTTTGATAACCTGAGTCTTAACATAGAACTAAAAAAAAAATTCCCTTCATTACCTCGTATTCATCGTCATCTCTTTCATCAATAACAACCATCGTTCTTGTCATTTATGCAAGAGCATATCGGTTTTAGTTTAAGCTCCAATGCTGAAGTACTTGTCGGAAACTATATCTATTTGCTTTTATAGGACTCGGTTATGCACCTACAACCCGGAGAATGAAAAGGTTCGGAATATACCACACTCTGTACTTGCCCCTCTGCCGGTTAGCAGTAAGTTTTCGAATTAACACATCCTACCGCCGTCCTATATAATGTTTATCCTGCTCATATCTTCTCGTCGTTTATATTCGGATTTACTGTAACAGCATCGAGAGGTGTAGCTTGTGTTTTTGCTGCAAGGAAGCGTGCCTTGGTCTACATACTGGATGAAGATGAAGATGATGTTTCAGTCTCTAGCTGTTTTATTCTTTGTTAAACTACATTATGTTGATTTTCAGATTAGGGTGTAAAACTCCATTAAGGGAGGGATTTATTTATAGCGGTGTAAGTTTTTAAACTATCGATATTTTATCAATATCATTATATTTATTTTTGTACGTTTCTTAATTTGATATCTGTATCATATTAATTTAAAGTGATGTATTTGTTAATATATTTAAAACCTAAAATTTAATTTTTTTTCTTCAAAAATCGTTTTTAATGTTTTGTATTTATTTTGCAATCCCATTGTTAAATTTAACTATTGATTAAATAAAAATGAAAAGATGACGATGTGGTACGATATAATATCAGTTTTAGTTCCAAAAGTTTACACATGGACTAGATTGAATGATCGATCATAATTCAATAAATCTTTGATATTTAAAAATCTTATTAATATGATTTTGATTTTGATTTAAAATAATTTAATAGTAATTTTTAAATATCTCAGAGGATTTATTATATTGTTTCCAATTAGGATCAATTTAATGGGGGTAGGATGCGTAAGTTTTGAAACTAGAATTGTTACTATATTACGTCCATCATTTCTAGTTAGTCAATTGTTAAACTTTTAGAAAATATTAAAATAGACATAAAATGTAATGATACGTATGATTTAAAAAAATAATTTAATGAAAAATAGCAATACGAGAATAAATAAGTTATGGGATAAACAATTTACCCAATTTAAAATCCTAATCTTTAGGAAACGTATTTTCCTCCTCTAATCCGAGAGAAAATGACGTCAGACAGAATAACGATTATCTTGTAGGCTAGTTTCAACAGGTGATTCACAAGAGAAAATTCGCCTTAAAACCAGAGAAAAAGTCTCTAGAGTTTAATAAAATATTATAAAATCAAAAACTATCCAAAATCAGTCCACAAGCCGGACTATTATAGCTAAAAATCTTATTTATCGGAATTTTAACAAAAATAGCAAAATCTCAAAAATTACTCTAAATTGAAATTCAAAATAAAATAAGCAATCTGTAGAAAAATCTGACCGAAATCGGATTTAAAATAACTTTCTAATTGACAATCGAAATATTACCATTAATAGTAAAAAATATTTAAATTTAATAATTCGGAGAGGAAAACGGTAGAATTTGAGGTCGAAAAAGGTCACATGGAGCATAGCTCAATGTGAACAGCGTACGCGTCGAAAAGAACTTTCCGAATTAGGGTCTTATGCGCGATTCTAACACCCGTAGTAAAAGTATGACCAAAAGGCTGAAGCACACTCAAAACGACCTCAAAGAAAAACATATCATAATCAATTTTCGTCTTTGCGTTGATCTGTCAACTCATGATATCTCAACGCCATCAAGATATAATCTGACAACTCAACATCATCGGTCTTAAATCCCTCTTCATCAGAAAATATAGGATATTTGGCAAGAACATGAAGTTGTCTTATCCACATGTTGGATTTGGATGCAGTGTCTTTTCAAGGAAAAAGCAGAGGGCGAAAACAGAGAAACTGGCAGATCGTATAGATTCCTCTCATGCCGCAGCTGCGGGGACCATATGATCTGATATGATATCCAGCATATATAATAATGCATTGCAGATACATGAATGCATTATTTCTCTTAAAAGCCCCTGAAGCTGACAATTCAATCATATTCCTCCCTTGAGCCACTATTTTAACATACAGAAAACGTTCGACGCTAAAATTAAAACACATTTCCAGTATGTTTATCCAATACCTTGTAATTTGGTCCATGAATTATTTTATTTCCATTTTACTCCCTAAACTCGGTAGTGGTTCCCATTTTTTTAATCATTTTGACGGTGTCAATCTGACATTTTGATACATGGCACAATTCAGAATACCATATCATTAAAATGAATAAAAATTTAGGTTTAGGGATTAAATTGAAAAAAATACTGAATTTAAGGATTAAAAATTACTTTATCCTTAACTTTTGTAAGGGCAAATTGTAATGAACTTCTCTATATTCTGTGTTTTCAGAGGATTTAGTACCTCTATTATTATTATTAATCTTTCAACTTTTGGGGCTAATTTTATCAAATAATTCGACAACACAGCGATGATGTGTAGAAAATTGGTCTCAAGATTGAAAATAAACGCTTCAATAAAGGGACTAAATCCACAAAAATAAATAGAAAAAGGACTTTCTCCAGAATACGACCCTTTTTTTATGTTACATATCAATGGAATAGGAATACATCTATTACTACATTTCACGTCTCCTCTCTTACGACACCACCTACAATTGCTAGCTATGGTGGAAGATTACTGTACCGAGAAATGTTGTTGCAGTGTTGCTCTTAACGCTGTAAATGAATTGAGCCTGAACGAACGTGTTTTTGTGCATTCTCGATCTGGTTAGATTAGTACCAGGCCACATGATGTACATGATTCTAACACCATATCCAAGCAACTTTGCTTATAGATCATCCAACTCAACGAGGTGTGCCCGCCTTTCGGCCACCTTTTGCCGAGTGAAGATGCCCCATCTAAGGGCTGCTTTGAACTTCAGCCACCCCATCACGGCTTTCCCCGAAGAACTCGAAGCTTCGTTGTTGAAACCGTAATTCGGACACGAGTTCGGTATGTGTGTCGATGCATAAGGATAACCATCTTCAGACGGATTGAAAATAGCATGGCCATGGTTTCCCATGTTAAAGATACGTAGAAGATGCTGCATCTCCTCATTTTCGACCATCTCGTTTCTTCTCATTCCGATCTCCTCCTCCGACAAGAAATCATCAAGAGCCGGTGGCTTGTACGTCGGAATGTTAGGAGTGGCGACACCATGGAAACCCGGCATGGATGACTGAGATGGACCATGTGCTAGCTCATTAACATTTAACTGAGTCTGAGCATTGAGATGGACCATGGAAGCTTCATAATCTAAAGAGAAAAACACAGTAAAAGAAATGAACATTATCACTTTAATCAACGATGTTATCAAAATTTGGACATACTAAGTCATACCTCCAACATTTAGACCGGAATCCATTGGAGGATACTCCGAAGGGACCGGAACAGACAGGCTCGGGGGAACCTGGTGCTGGTCAATTGAACTCGGATACCCTTGGGGATCCATCGAAACAGTAGTTTGTGAAGCACCTCCATTATCGTCTTCGTTACTGTCTTGTAGAGATTTACCATCATACTCTATAACATGCATCCAATTTTCATATGCCTTCTTTACCAAGGCATCCACATAAACCTGCAAAAACATAACCCCTGGAAGTTCGGGTAATCTGAATTTCGATTGTCGACGTTTTATAACCGAATTGGGGATGGGTCGGATTTGAGTTTCGGGTGGAGTTGAAGTTTTTACCTTCTGATTGTCCGAAAGTGAATCCGCTGCATAGTATTGTCCATTTGCAGTTAGGCCACTCAACTCATGGATATTGTTGAACACTATGCCAACACTCCTCACACTATCAGGGTAATAAACATAGAGTTTCCCACTTAGAACACAAGTCCTTGCATGCTCCAACAAAACATCCCACATCTTGTTAGACATTCCACTCCCAAGGATCTACAAGAAATGTGTCAAAAAAAAGAAAAAAACACATATACATGTCATTGAAAGAACAAAACATAATTCCGATTCGATCCTAATCCAAGTAGTAACATTTGTCCCTTCCGGTTAGAGTACAATGACTAAATCTACAATTTACGAATAGTACAAGGACTACCGATAGAACCAAAATTCTTACATTTCTCAGTCTCTGTGAGTCCCTAACCACGAGTCTTAGAAAATCTTCAACCGTGAAAATCCCAGCTTTGTTAAGCCTCTTGTGAAATGACCCATCTTTGCCTATCTTCTCCAATCTCCACACTTCATCATGTGGTGCTGGTGGATAATGTTTCTTGTATACTGAAAAAAGGCAAATGGTTTAGTGGCTCTCAAGTAACCAAAAAGTTAAAGTCTATTATCACCATCAAATAACCTGAAAGAACATACATTCTCCTCGGTGGTCCTTGACTGTGAAGGCATCCGTTTTCGCTTCACGAATACGGACACCATCGCAGGAATCCGGAGCAACCTTCAACCCGAGTCTGAATTTCCTACTCCTTATCCAGCTCGAGTTATCGGTGAACGTAAGCTCTCCCAATGTTCCCGTACCATCCTTCAGAATCACCTGTTAGAAATTTGTAATCGTAAAAATGTAATTAATACAAGATCAATATAGAATAAATCATACACAAGAAAAACTTAAGAGTCCAACGCTGTACCTGCAGATCACCGGTTAGTAGGGGCCTTTTCCCTTCACGCTCTTTCACGACATGGCTGTCGAATTCTTCTTGAGTCCAGTTATCGTCGTCTTCGTTGTTGAAATCACCCTCGAGGACGACGACATCGAGTTTGGCAGAGGACTCTGGACCATAAGTGACAACATGACCGGTGTTTGCATCAATCAAGACAACGTGGATAGCACCACCTTGTTCTCCTTCCACTTTCCCTCCTGTAAATAGAGGGAGGGACAACCTTGATTTAAATTGCAGCTGCAGATTTCTCCCATCATGGCCTTTTATCCGTTTAGGGTAGAAGAAGACCTGCATGCTGGCGTTAGTTAGTGGCGTCGACTCGATTCGAAAAATCGACTTTTTTTTACTCGATTCAACTAAAAAAACTCAACTCGAAAAAATTTCAAATTCAAATCTAGTTGTAAAATGCAACTCGAATAGCTCAAAATTTTTAGTAACTAGTAGATTTATTTTCAAGTTTGACTCGAGTCCTTGGCTTTGTATAATATATGTATATCACATATGAAAAATATAAATAAATATATTGTATTTATATATATGGTATAGAAAGTCACTTAAATTAAAATCAAATAATATTATAATATTATAAATATTTACAATTAAATTTAAATAAAAACTCGAAAAATCGATTCGACTCAAACAAATTTCAAATCAAATCCGAGTTGTAAAATGGAACTCATCAACTCGAATAACTTAAAATTTTTTGACTCGATTGAAAGCTCAAGCCTAGCTTTAGTGTTACAATAAAACAATAGAAAAAAAATTCCGAAAGTCAATTATAGTTTTAATCACTTCTGAATGTTTAAATATAAGATTTAGTCATGATAAGTCATGTTATTAAGTTAAAAAAAAAAACAAGATTTTTAAGCAATGGTCAAAGAAAAGTTCATACCTAGCATTAAGCTTGGGAGGGTCTAGTTTTGCCAGAGCACGTTCCACTTCTTCGCTGACCTGTGTGTCATATTGCAGAGACCAGAAGAGTGTTTATGAGATTATAATAACTTATATTATTCGACTCAAATTCAAGTGTCAAACATCAATATAAGTAACGATAATACCCTTAAAATGAGAGAATGAACTAAGTAAAAGAGCTTCAAATAAAAAAAAAATCACAATCTTACAACTCTACGAAGAATAGGTTCCAATGATGAACACAGTTTCTGCAGACTATCCACCTTCAAAGCTTCAACAATGACACTGCACACACCGACAATAAAGCTTTTACGTTAGCACGAGAAAATCAAAATTTTCGGGTAAAAAAATATACATCATGCAAGTATGTCAGTAGTGGATATCCTAGTAACCAATAAAAAAAGTTTTATAAGTGACACCACCCATCAACTGACCCATCATCTTCCCAAGACGAGTATGTATTGTTCTTTCAGTGAAGACTATGCAACTCCACCAACATCCATGCCACATTTCATCTTGTTGGCATAATATAGTTGGTGAAGTGATATGTATACACAGAGAGACATTTACACAAACATGTATATGTATATGTATTTATATATATATACACAGATTGCACGTGTATATATATAATGTGGAGATTAAAAGAAAGAGAGAAAGATACACCTAGCAAGAGCTGGACGTTTCCTATCAGGTCCTTCATCTCCAGAACTCGGGGAATCCAAACATCTCTTCTCTCTCGACGCCATACTTTTCGACCCTTCCACGTACCTCGTTTGCATTATTACAAAACTCAACCTGCTTGGTTGCCGAGAAAAAGCTAAAATAAAAAGAAACGAAACAAACCAAAACCCTGAAATCAAAACTCGTACATTGAACTTTCAGTGCCACCCAAAAAAACTGATTTTTTAATCTTTCACTTCCAAAAAGCACACTCCATTCTTTATTTATTCCACTGAAAAGGAACGGAATTTCTTCTCTGTATATCTGTTTTCTTCCCTTTGTTTCCTATAAGGAATATGAAATGAAACAAAAGCAAAAGGTTAAAGATATTTGTAAAGAAAGTTTGGATTTTTGTGAAGAAAGAAGCTTCGCGGAAATGGGTGAGAATTTTCGTTCTTTGTATTGGTTTGATTGTGTCTCGTGTTTAATCAATTCCTTGTCTTTTTTATAATAAAGGTTGATTCTTTTAATTTGCAGCTGATAGATCCTGGTGACCGTATACGGTCCAAAAAATTACGTTAAATGATTATATATGTATATTAATTATTTTCAATCAAATGTATTTTTAAATAGGGGTAAGTAAAACTCGACTTGATTAGAAAAATTAAATTTTTCGAATAAAAAAACTCGACTTGAATTGACTTTAAGTTACAATTTCATAAACTCGACTCGATTAAAAAAAATTCAAGCTTAAATCGAATTGTAAAATACAACTCGAATATCTCAAAAAATTTAGTAATTAATAGATTTATTTTCAAGTTTGAGTTAAATCATTAAACTTTTTATGATATATGTATATCACATATGAAAAAATATACATAAATATATTTGTATTGTATATATGGTTATAGAAAGTCGTTTATATTGGAATAATATAATATTATAAATATTTACAATTAAATTTAAATAGAAACTCAAAAAATCGACTCAACTCGAAAAAATTTCAAGTCAAATTCGAGTTGTAAAATAGGACTCGTCAACTCAAATAACTCAAAATTTTTTAACTCAACTCAATCGAACGCTCATTCTTATTTTAAAGACGTAGAATTTGTATGAATAGATTATTGTTATATGAGGTTTCAAATTTTAATATATTATCTGTAGAAGTATTTAAAAATTTATTGTCAAATGATTAAATATTTCAAATAAATAAATATATTTAATGAGAAAAAAATAAAGAATTAATCTCAATCTTTAATTTATCTCAATCTAACGATATTAAAAAAATGTAAAATATTTTTTTACGTAATCTAGATGTACCTCCCCCAGCATTTGAGGATCACTTATATAAAAACGCTCTAATAAAATTCGACATTATTAAATATTTCTACAATACGAGAATGAAAATGGCTAATAATTTAATTATTTAATAATTTTATTAAAATAAGAGTATCAAATTGTATAAAATTAAAATTCGCATTAAATCTAGTTTCTTATAAAAAAAATCGGTAATTATATAAAAAATATAAAAAAAATTACAATAGTAAACTAAACACATAATAAATATATTTTTCTAACAATGAGAAAAATAGTCACTTAAGATCACAATGATCATACAAGGAAATGGTAAAAACCTAATCAAATAAACTCAGATAAAAGGTAGATACAAACAGATCTGACTGCATCGGCAAAATAACTATAAAAGGGGATGGCGCTATTGAAATATCACATACAAATCGCAAATCAAAATTGAGCGACATGAAAATATTATCCATGAACGCAAATCGTGTATCCAAATCCAATCTGAGGATCCAAAATAGGGAAGATCAACATGATAACAAATAAAACGACATCTTGATTAACAGTAGAGATGTCAAATCCAACCCTAAAAAATAAATAAATATAATGATCAAGACAAAAAAATGTGTCATAAAGACATAGATAAATGTACTATAAAAACATAAGAAGACATATTATAAAAACAAAATTATTAAAAATAAAAATTAAAAATATGCAATAATAAAAAAATAATAATAAATATCAGCTATCACCATAAATACTAAGACTAGATGCAATTGTCGATGATAAAATGAAGATGGTTCTATACCTTGTTAACAACTCTACTTTTAAAAGAGAAGGCAAAAAAGGTACTATACCTTGTTAAATGAGGATGGTTCTCATGAAGCAAATTGTCCATTGCATCTATTTAAAAGCATCCGAACCTTAGGTTGATTTATTAGTTAATGAATTGATTCCAGTGTTATTAGCCATGTATTATCTTTAACGTAGATAATATTACCCAAAAATCACCTTAACAGTTCCCCTGCACGTATCAGATTTCTCAATAAAAGTTTATCTTTTTTTATTATGATATCAGTTCGAATCAAGTCTCATTATATGTGCTTTGTTAGAAATAATGTTATATCGGTAATATTAAAAAAATGTGCCTGAGCGGTAATATTTAGTTGTTAAGGTGTTATTTGGGTAAAATTACCTTTAACGTACAGCTCCTAGTACTAGAGTTAACTAGCTAGTCCAGCTTTCCATAATCGTTTGTCAATTATTTTCATTAGTCCTTATAATATGACGAGTTAAGGATTTACTCTTCTACTTTAATTTGATTCATTTCAATCCTTATACTTTTTAAATTTTAATAAATATGTCCTAACCCACACAATGTAAGGATAATATAACTAAATTATAGAAATTAAAAATGATAAAATTAAAGAATAAAAACTAAATATATAATTTATATATGATTAATAATAAAATTTAGCAATTATTATTTGCATCAGGATCTACATTTTAAAATTTTAAAAATAAATATATCTAATTATAGTATAAGGACCAAGTACACAAACATGAAACAATTTGACCTTAATTATTTTTTAGTAGTCTTCCGGTAATTATAAGATAATATGTGTTCATAATTTTTTTTGTCATTAACAACGTACACACACTTTGCATAGTAACTGTTCAGACCCAAAATTTCTAAAAAAATAATATTTTCTTTAGTCACTGAAACCGTTTAATGAGTTTATTTGACCTTAATTCTTAAATGGCATCACTTTTGTAGCAAAGATTCAACGAAAGAGGCAAATTCTATTATGTCCTTGGTCTTTCATTTTAATATCAATTAAATAATTAATCTTTAACTAGTTAACAAAATTATTGACACAATATTTTTAGATTCTTAAAATAATATATTTAATTATTATTATTTACACATTCTATTAATTTGACCGTTATTCTAAATAAATCAATAAATTTAACCCATTAAATTTAAAATTTTAAAAACTACAATATCAATAATTATGTTAACCGATTAACGATGGATGATTTGATTACCACTAAAATAAAACATTAATGACTTAATTAATAAACTTCTTTTATTCGGTGGTCGATGACTAAATCCATAATTATAATCTTCTTCTTGTAATAGGGATTTTGTTGGTATTTTACGCGCCTCGTGTCTTATGCAGGATGGACGTACGTAATTATTGGAAGGACAAAGAAAAAGCAAGTCATTGTCTTTAAATTAATGTTAGTGATAGAACATGTGATCCACCACTCTAATGACTTTTTTACACATGTATTGCGTAATCCCTACGGTAATAGGAACTTGAAAGTATATTATATTCTAAAAATGTTTTATTATTGAATATTTTAATTTCTATATTATAAGTGAGGTGAATTTCGACCTACTTTTGTATCTAACTGAACGAAGATGGATACATGTTTCTCATGTGATGATACATGAATGCAGATAAAAATTAGATTCGTCGTGAATAGGACATTGTCCCCACCTCATCCTCACCTATCTTACATCATCATGGCCTAATTGTGTTGTATGTATTAATTGATTTCTGAAACTTGTACATTTGTTATGCATTTGAAGACATACATAATATATATAAGACATCGTTTGCATATTATCATACCTCAAAATTAGGGTCATATTAAAATGCTTAAATATTTTAGTGTTTTTTGTTAACTTTAAAAAAATATAAGGTCTAGGGGCTTAATTAACTTAAAGTTTAGGGTATTTGGTATACCCTCCTTTCTTCCTTTTCATTTCTGTCATTTTGCAAGTGTCAAATGTGCACGCCTCGTCGCCTCCCTCTCGTACTTTTCAAGTTTTTTTTTTCCATTTCTTTCGTTTAGTCTATATTTCACAATCGTTTGCGCCTTCGTGCGTGATACCTCCGACACCATTCGCTTTGTCTCGTCTCGCACGTTCGTTTGGTGTCTTTGGTTCCTTCGTCTTTGCTGTCATTAGTGTTTTAGGAAGTATCAAATATTCGAGTTTCTTTAATACCCAACCTCCGTTGTTCACTGCCTAAAATTAACTTCGATAAATGACTCACTGAGCGTTAAAATGTGATTATGGAAAAAAAAATGTTGTGATTTTTACCACCGGAGAACGTCTCCCGCGCCACAGGTGTCGCCGCTACAAGTGTGGAACAGTTTTAGTCGGTTCAAACCGGTCTAACTTGACTAAATCTATCTTGAACCAAATTAGTTAAATTGAAATGTAAACTGAATCGAATTGTTAATCGAATCGAAGCACTAACCATTGATCGTTGACTTTAACTGTTGACTTTTTCTATTAACCCTTACCTATAAGATTGTTGATGTCATGAGTCTATTTTCGTAGTCTGTTTTGTCAAATTCTGACTCAAAAGTCCTTTTTGTGCCATTTATTATTCTAAGTTATGTTTATGTTAAGTAAATTCTAAGATTTTGGACTCACTATTTGATATTATGTTTTAAAGGTGATCACACGTCTTCGCATCACTCTTTAGTAGATCCAGACTACTCTCATTTTTGAGATACGCATGAGTGTGGTTAAATGGTTTGTTAGCATGTTTCGATGAGATAGATTGTTTAGTACTCACATGGTAATTGTTGTTATTAGGTTCCCATTCTGTAAGACCTAATGCTACCTAATGTGGAAAGCGTAAGGCTTAGCTAGTGTTATTTAGCTAATATAGGTGTTTCTCTCTACCTGTATTAATGTTTATTTTTCCATGCTATGTTTTTAGTTGATGCACTATTATTGGGTCACTTGAATGCGTAAGCTTAGCCGGGTCTAAAAAGTTACATTTATTGATATTAAAGCTTAAGTTTAACTCTTGAACTGTGTTTCCTCTAAAACTTATGCTACTCTGTGAAATAATTTTTCTATGCATCGAAAACATTTTGAGTACGAGAAATATTGTATGAAATATATCCCAAGTGTAAATCTTGATAAATAATTTAATCTTATCTATTTTTAAATATGTGATTTTTAGGTAAGCTATTTTGATTCGAGACTCTAGTACTAGATC